AATAACAAGTAAGTACCTACATGCAATGTTACACTATTAAATAAGCTCATTAAACGCAAATATAATGATTTGCACAAAATTTACATCTATCTTTGCAATGGATGAAGAAACTATACCTCTTATTTGTCAATATGTGTTTGATCCGACGGATTAGTTGATCTTCCTCCCAACTCTTGCATTGACTGAATGTATCTTGGTCGATTTGAGATAGGACATCATGTAAGAGCTTCTTGAGATCGAGGGTGCGTGACACCGTCACATGAGCTTGGCACTGGAAACCTCCTCCAATCTTGCGATAGGCTTCCATGGCAAGGGTAGTCTTTCCCAGCCCCCCACCCCCAACAATGGCCACCACCTTCAGCTCCGCCCTCTCCTCCTTCAATAAAGAGATAACCTCATCCATGCGCCCCTCCATGGCCACCAAGCCCTTGGCCACCCCGTGGAACGCAGCTAGCCGGGGATCTATCACCACATGCTTTGTTGGATTCACAACAAAGTTGTCGAGATTCAGCCGCTTCCGCCGTTCGCTCTCCTCCGTGACGCGGGCCTTGAGCTCCTTAATCTGGGTCCCGATACCATGTCGCGTGAACAACGTCTTGAGCTGGCGCGCGGTCCTCTTGGCGAAGCCGGGCTTGGATTCGCCGTTGTCGAGGCGGAGCATGAAGCGGTCGATGCACTCCTCCATGTCATAGCTGAGGTCGCGCATGCTGCCCTTCCAATCCTTGGCCACCTCGTCGAGCCCCTCCATGTCGGCCAGAGCATTCACCAGGATCTGCATCCTCCGTAGCTCGCGCTCGAGGAACGCGATGTCCTTGCGCACCCTCTTGAGCATCGTGTACTCGTCGCCGAGCAAGGTGGCGAGCTTGAGGATTACGGAGCCCAACGCCCCTGTCCCGGCCCCCACGCCCGCCATCTCGCTCTGGCCCCCCTTGAGACGGGGAAGCCGCTACAGATGCCCAATAGTTGGTGGTGTTGGATGGAGCAATGGTGGTGTAGCGGTGGATTTTGGATGGAGCAATGGTGGTGAGCTTGACTGCTTGAGAAGAGCGAGGTCAAGATGCGAGTTAGGCCAAAGTGGATGAGCGTACTGCTGCTGCCCGAGTATGCGTGTGAGGGGCGTGGCGATTGGTGGATTGATGAGCATCCCATGTGAGTACTCTAGCAAAACACCAACCATGGCTCACTGCCATTTGTTGTCTTTGAAACATGGGCTCCTACTAATGAATGCTACTCGGGGTGAGGTTACGTTATCACCTAGGCAAAAGTATTCCAAGTGCACACCATCATATGTACATTATCTGACAAACCTCGCTGTAGCAAGGAATTCTTTTAAGTTCACTAGGTTTTGGTCCATTGCGTGCTTTGTCAGGCGTACTGATTGAATACTACTAGTGACATATTGCCAACATCGAGGCAGGCACAAAGCTCGCTCGGGCAGTTCAAAAAAGTAGGGAGTAGTAACATATTTTCAGCCTTGTTCTCCCCGCCCGCTTTCTTGACAACCCTCCGCGGTCCACATCCAGAGAGCGTCCACGATGCACCATATAGTTTGGACCGTTAGATGTGAGAGCCATGGACAAGATTAAGATTAATATGGATACACGACGTGAATACATGTTGCAAAACGAACCTCATATTTAATCAAAATTAACTCACACTCCAATTTTTAACCGCAGTTTCATTGCGAGATTAGATGGGAATTGTTTCCATTTTATCTCAAGGAGGCTTTTTGTCCTTCATGTCTTGTAGCTATATATATACACTCACCCTCCAGGATCAACATAACACATATCGCATTACGCCAATCCTCTTCCCTCTAATCCTTTTATATGAATATAAACGAATTTATGAAAAAAGGGGAACCTCTTGGCACCTAGAAGATGGGGAGTGATCTTTGCAAAGGCTAACCCTAATTAGTGATTTCGCCAAATAGAAAGTCATGTCGTGAGAGCGCCAGATTCCACGTCGAGTCCTGCAATTTGAAACAATCTCGAGGGGCCTCCGACTCTCCCTAGCCCTAACCGTGGCCAGGTACCCGATTATGTGCCCTAGCCTGGTGTCACATACCTACTACTCCTACCTTGTTTGCAGTTAGAAAAGGCCCACCGCCGTTCGAACCCAAAAATGTTACAAACTGGCACGAGCGGAATTTTTTTTGCTAATAAGAAGATGAAATTTCCTTCTCCCTCAAAGGAGTATAAACTGGTGTGCGAGACGGCCTCAGCCAAGGAGGGAGGCACATGATATGGAGGTGGTGCGCTTTGCCGCCCCGCGGAGCGCAGAAATGAGTTGAAGAGGAGCTTGTCGCCGGCAAGGTTGAGCGTGCCCACGGCAGCAAGAGTGAAACCGGGAGTTGTTCACCGAGCAATGTTGAAGTCGCAATTTTCAGCTATCAAACGCAACTCTGCATTGAAGTAAGGCCCAAGACACGGGAGCTTGGAACACTGGCCACAGCGAAGAGGGCGGCGTCGGCGAGGAACTCGAAGAAAGGTTCTTCTTTACAACCACGCACAGACGCACTTGTCCATGGGTGTTCATACCTCTAACTCTAACTCTAACATTCGAGGAGTACAACCACAACTTCGTAAGCGAGGTTGCAATACACCCATGGGTAAACTAGACTAACACCACTGACGATCCAGTGACGGCACATACTACTGGGACAGCAACGCAGAAACAACACCTGTAACCAGTGGTAGTGAACCACCACCTACACAGCAGCATATTCTCACATTGCTTGGTCGAGGACTCTGTTTTTAACCGGACCTTGCAGGAAGGAGGGAATTGCAAGCACGGTCTGCTCCCAATGGTCCCACTGACACAGTAATGCATAGAGGTTCGAGCTTTTGACAACCGGAGTGATGCACAGAGGCTGGTTCGATGGCGGTCAAACAAATGCATAACTGAAGAAAAGTTGGTCGTGGTGTTTCTACATTGACGAGTAGTACTACTTACTTCGTCCATTCCTTGGCTGAAGACTCAGTTTTTGAAAGGAACCATTGCAAAAATGAAGAGAAAAACATGGTCTCGTTAAGCAGTGCCGTCTGCTTTTATGTTCAGTCCGTTCCTAGACACAACATTCTATAATGAGTAGTCAGACTAGACTCTTATTTCTGCTGCTATGAGTTGAACTCCAGTTACCACGATTTCAGAAACGAAATTTGGGGTGTGAGTTGAGCACTAACTGTGGTTGCCACAATTATGCACCAATATCAAACATTTAAGCTAGCATACGATGAACAAACCCAAGCTTTGGAAGGAGGTGCTCCTGAAATTCAGAGATCTGAACCTGACATCTCGAGGCAACTAAAACAGCCAATTCAGTTCAGTTGGTTGCTGAAGCATACACAACCTTGCCTTTTTAGAAATAGCATATAAGATTGAAATAAATAGCTCATAAGAGCCAGATACAGCCAAGAAAAACTTACATGAGGGAAACAACAAGTCTAACAACGGAGCAAGAAAATAGATCATGGGTTCAACGCTCATCAGGAAAACCCACTGTCTGCACACAGTACTCGAATACAGACTATGGGACGAAAAACCTGATGCCACAAACTACCTTATTACAAACACACAATGTACTGAAAGGTTATAGCTGGAAATCTTGCTGCTAGGGAGTGCGATGAACGCCCCTTTCCTCTTCCCTATGCCTTCTCCTCTCCTCCTTATCCTCAAACATCATATTTTCACGTTTTCTACGGAGATGGAGTTGAAGAGCATGACGGTTTGGGTGCAAGGTGATTGCTTTTTCAACCGAACCCTCCAGGGCCTCCACCTCGGCAAGAATTGCATCCCAACAATCAGTTTCCAACTGGATGCACACAAGGCTTGAAAGATGCTCGATGCCCATGTCAGCAACATCACTAACATATTTTGCGATCCAGGTAAGATGGAGCCGTCGGACCGCTGGCATAGCACCTGCTGCAAATTCTATCCCAGTTGTTTTGCATTGATCATTAATGTAGTGGAACACCTCTAGCAGCTTGAATCCATCACTACTTACAGTCATGACGCGAGCTGACTCCCCTACCTCTAAATGGAGATAGGCCAGAGAAGGCATATCCATGAGAATACGGAGATCTTCCTCATTAAAATGTAAGACATTTATCTCTAATTTGAGGATGTTGATTAGGGAAGCCATTCGCTTGGGAAAACTTTCCGTGATCCCCTCTAGTTTAAGATACCGGAGGTGCGGAAAGGTGCAGTATGGATCCCTAAATAAATACTTGCCCATATGACCATGAGTATGAAGATATCGAAGGTTGTGTTTTGCCAGCTCATTTAGAGATGACCCCAGTCTTTCTAAACAACATCTTAAAACACGCCGATCCGCATACCGACACCAAAACCCACTCATCGAGATCTTTCTCAATTTTGTGAGATGTCCAAGCTCTTCCACAAATTTCTCAGGGTTGTCAACTGCACAGATATCCGACACTTCCTCCAAGTCTGGCATGCTTCCAAACATATCTGCCGAAAACACAAAATGCATGCTGGCCTGAACGAATAGGCGCACCATTTTTTGTAGCCGCACTATAGTCGATGGAAGTTTTCTAATTAGAGTGCCGTGCAAATTGAGAGTCTCTAAGTTCTGTAGGTTTCCAATATCTCCAGGAAGCTCCGTGATTCTACCCTGAATTCTCAAATACCTCAGCTGATAGAAACTTCCTATATTTCTTGTATGCTTGTTTTCCCACAAAGAAGAATACCCACATATATCAAACACGCGCAAAGACTGGAAGTCCACAAGTGGGGGGTATCTCCTTTGTTTCTCCAAACAGATTCAATGAGCGAAGATGTAACTTGCTTCTTGTGATAGCATGGGTTGCACCTTTGATCTGTTCAAGCCCACTATATTGCACAGAGAGTCGGCGGATCTGGCTTGGCGAGGAATAGCAAACCCCATTCATAACCGTGGCAAATTTCCCTTCATCTGACACAGATATTATAAGGTCAAGCACCATATCATGAACTTGACAGTATTGTTTAAAACCATCATCATGATCATCAATTGACTGAATAATGCTTCTGTTGACAAGTTCATTAAAACAGCTCTCAGCTTCTCGAGACAAGTTTCCCCATTTCGTAGCAATGAATCCTTCAGCTACCTATTTCCATTTTAGTTCTTCACATGGGATATACTTGTCCTCTGAATATATGCATGAGTACAACAAACAAGTCTTCAAGTGTTGTGGAAGATCCCAATAACTAAGTAACAATATATGTCTCATACCATTTCCGCCATCATTACTCTCATATGAAATACCAGTACCAATGGAACCTTGGAATCTCTCCCATTCATCTATGTTTTGAGGTTTATTGGCTAGCAAACTCGCAATTGTAACTATAGTCAATGGCAAACCACCACATTTTCTCAGGATCCTAGTTGAGACTTCTTGTAGTTGAGTAGGGCAGGAGTTGTCGGAGTGGAAAATTCTCCGAAGGAACAATCTTCGGGAATCAACTTTGTTGAGAGGTAGCATGTTTTCTTTGAAAGATCCAGCAATTGTTGGCATTTTCATTGATTATAGCAGAAAGCAGTGGAAAAACAACAACGGTGGTGAGAATCCTAGGATCAAAGTTTTAGGGTGCGCCACACACGGCCAAACACCCTAGGAACCAGGGGGGTTTATCTCTCAAGGGGGGGGGGGTCCCCGAAGGGGCTCTCTAAGCATGCAGCTCCTGTGATTCTCCATAGCTCGATGTTGTCTCTTATGCGCTTGATGATTCTTGCCATGCACGGTAGTTGCTGCCTGAAGGTGCAGTGGTTTCTCTCCTGCCATATCTCCCAGCAAGCAAGCCAGCATAGCGTCCGAACACCCTTTCGCCATTGGTGTTGGGTCTGCTCCAGGATGCCTTTGCACGATCACGCTGGAGCTGTCATGGCGCCAACTCTCGGCCAGGGTGAGA